CAGTCAAGGATCAAACCTAAATTTGTAAAGAAGCAGGTATTCAGAGAGAAAGAAACGGAGACTTCTCTATCGCCGTTTCTGCTCCTGTCATGGGAACATTACAGAGTAAACACAGAGAATTTCTTCAATTTGGCATTTAGGGATACTTATCTCCTAGAAGCTCTTCTGTTCTTTGGGTGCGATTAGCTTTGGTTAAAGCAAGGAGATACATCATTCAGTTCTTCATCTCATTTTTTATCTCTTCCCAAAACTTGGTATCTCCTCAGCCTGACTATCCACCATCCCAAAAAGCCACCAAAATAGGAAAACATATACATACCTGTTGTTTGTTGAGTATCACAGCCAATCAGACCAGATTAACCTGCCCAAGCAGCTGAGCTGGACAGCAGTCCATCAAGAGGGAAATTAGAGCAAGATATGGAAGCTGGCCTACAGCAGAAATGTAATAGATAAGTGCACAGGGAGACACATCAATTGCTAGAGCAAAAGGAAGAAAGCCTTTGTAAAAAGCCTATTCCAATGCCTAAATAGCTGTCCCATAGCCAGCAGACACTGTTTAAAGAGTCCATAGCTTAGCCAGCTGGACAGGTAGGACAGATGTTGAGAGCTTATCAAGTTCTAAGACTGCTGGATATTTAAAAAGGTTGGTTAAAGTCACTTCTTCCCTTGAGACAATGTTGGGAAGATCTTTCCCACAATATATCACAAGTCAGTAACCAGCGCGAGAAAAGTGGCCTATGCCTCTGTGCCTCGTGCACCTACAAAACAAAGTGTGAGATTCATCTGCCTTCTGAAACACTGGAGATGCACCTTGGCTTGTTCTCCAGTGCCTCATGGTCCTATTGATGACACTCAACTCAGTGGCAGAGTGGATCATATATCTTGCTTCTATGCTCAGGGTAAAATTACTCCCAGATGTGATATCCAAAAGGAATCCTCCCCCAGCCCCTGCCCTGGTCAGGTCACCAAGGCAGCCAGTCAGCCTCCCATGCTGTTGCCAACTTTTCATCTAATACATTTCTTTTACAGTCTTTGTGATGTCCTTGCCCTCTCCTGCTCTCTTCCAGCTGTTGCACATGCGAAAAAGCTTATAGGGCCTTTACAGTTTGTTTCTGCAGCTTTTAGCCATGGGAACATTCTGAGACTATGGAAAAGTCTGTGCCTGTGAGCAAAATGGTCTCCTCTTGTGTTCTGTTGTGAAGTTCCTTGCATTTCTCAAATGCTTTAGGCAATGGGGTTCAAAGTACTTTAGTAACTTTGGAAAAAAAAAAAAACAACACTTCGATGACATTTGTTTATCTTCATCATCTCATGCATGGAGTCAATCCTAGGTCTGCCACTCATTCATACTACCTGCAGTGATGGTGCCTTGGGGGCTGCTCCAGAATGACCTAAGTCAGTGGTCTAGAAGCAACCAAAGATGTCCCGAGATGCCCCAAGGTATAAAGCTATTAGATATAAAGCTATTAGGGAGTGTCCAAAGGAGGGCAACAAAAATGGTGAAAGGCCTTGAGGGGAAGCCATATGAGGAGTGACTGAGGTCACTTGGTCTGTTCAGCCTGGAGGAGACTGAGGGGAGACCTCATCGCAGTCTACAACTTCCTCGTGGGGGGAAGAGGAGGGGCAGGCACTCATGTCTTCTCTGGGGTGACCAGTGACAGGACCCAAGGCAATGGCCTGAAGTCGTGTTAAGGGAGGTTTAGGCTTAATATTAGAGAAAGGTTCTTCACCCAGAGGGTGGTTGGGCATTGGAACGGGCTTCCCAGGAAGTGGTCACAGAATCAATCCTGACAGAGTTCAGAAAGCATAAGGATCACACTCTCAGGAACATGGTGTGATTCTTGAGGTATCCTGTACAGGGTCAGGAGATGGACTTTGATGATCCTTGCGGATCCCTTCCAATTCAAGATATTTTATGATTCTATGCCTTCAGCATCTGCCTATTTACTGCACGGACAGAAGTGTGAACCAGAATCCTCCCATCACTCACCTGTCCCAGCTGCCACCCAGTGGAGAGCAGACTGAGATGACACCTCCAAAGCCTTATACAACATTGCTGCAAAGGCTGGGCAGGATTTGTCAGCAACTTAAGAGGGTAAGAAGACAATTTTGGGGCGTGCATTGGACTTCAAACCACTTCTGACAAACCAGTGATCTGTGACCCACCATGAAGCAGAGCTACAATAAGAACATGGGTCTTCCTCACTCCTTGAGTCTGAGCAAGAGGTTAGATTTCATCTCCTCTGTTTCAGTAATCCCATAACAAAATTGTTTACAAAGAAATCAACAGCTCCTGTGGATTACTCCTACTGTAATAACTGTCTCATTAGGAGAAACAGAAATTACTAAACTGTACAGAGAGTACAGAAAACATTCCTCACCACAGATACTGTAAGAGACAAGGTGGTGAACCTGGGTTTTTTCATTAATGATTTGTGTTAATATGCTTTATCAGAGCCTGAACTCAGGACAAAGTCTGCTCTAATTAACCTAACACATTTTTCCACAGCACGGACATATTGAATGAAGTCACTGTGTTCATAGTCCATCTCTGTGATTCTGTGATTCTGAGATAATAGAGCAGTGGGACTATTTGGGAATACCTGACATAATAATCTTCACCACTAAATAGAAAACTCACAGCATAAAGTCTCAGCCTTAAAATCTAATGAGATGTTTCACTCCAGGCTGGGGTGTCCAACAAGATACTGCCATAAAACGTGCTTCTCTGTTTCGTATTCAGTCTCTATTGTTTACTTGTATTTACCCCAGGACTCTTGCAAAATACAACCAAAATTCTCAGCAAACATCCATATATTAACTTATTTCTTCTTAGCTCTGCCTCTCCAAAAGGAGAAGCCATCAAAGCCACAGGTCTGTGCATGTTTAAGGAACAACATGTGAATGAAAAAGAAGAGAAACTAGCAATAAGCCAAGTAAAATGTAGGTTTGGGACTGGAAGGGAAATAAAACCGTTCAGAGCTCTGCCACAATCTCAGGAGGCCATTCCTGAAACAGATGTAAGCATGAGCCAAGTGTGACTCCGAACCTATGTTCTCTGGTTTTAATTGGGGCTGAAGTCAGCATTTCCAAGGAAATTTGTTTGTTCCCAGTTAACAATTTAAAGTGTCTATCCATGCTTTCCTGCAATTGCATGCCTTTTTTCTTCTTTTTTTTAATGCAATTTTTGTATCATTTTTCCATTTTAAATCCAAATTTGCCTTTAGGATAATTATTTTGCTGTATTTCATGTAGTCCTTTAGTGCTTGTTTCAAATAAATCAATCATCTTTAATACTGCACAAAGTAATTTGGCAGCATTACGAATGCGCCAAAATATGTTCACAATCTGATAATCTATGCTTTCTATTTGCAATCGTCTTTCTGCCTTCTGCTCAAAACCAAGACGGCCAATTTCCAGTCATGGGCACTCATGTGATCAGGATCTCAAAGCCATAGCATGCCAGAGCTTGGGCATTGCTAGTGCTCTGTGCCTTCCTGGACTGAGCTTCTCATAATCCGAAATACCTACAGCATCTTTTACATCAGTGGCAAATTCGAGGACGCAAACGCAGAATTTTCTTCCATGATGCATACAGCCAATCTGTGGGCTGATTAACTTCAAAAGATGGTTTAATAAATAGAGAAAAATTCAAATTACAAATTCAGGACCATCTTTTCACAGTTATTAAAAGAATATTATTAAAATATTGAGCATTACTGACATAAAGTCCAGTTTTAACTCTGTTGTAAAAATTAAACCCATGCAAGGACCTAAAATCACTGAAGGATTTCAGAAAAGTATATACTCCTTAAGAGAAAATTTTTCAATTAAAATGGGCTCATAGCTCCAGGATGCTTCTTGAACACACTGAGCACCTTACTGCTGGCAGTTCAAAATCCCTGCAGCTCTCAAAGTGCTCCTGAAAAACAGACTTTGACTTGTTCTTCTCAGATACTTTTTGGGGTGAGATTCTCAGGAACAGCTGCCACTGTGTGAAATTTAGGCTTAAGTAATTTAGCTCAAGATCACAAAGCAAAAAACATCTGCAGAATATAGAGAAGACATAGATACTCTGGCCTCAGGTTTTGTTTTTAAAATGACCATACAAAAGAAAATATAGAATTATACAAATTTTTAAACCAAGTTAGTTACATAAACTGAGCTGGTTGCAAGTGACACCTGAATTACTCGAATAATCTTTTTTTTTTTTTACTGATTAGAAACAGGCTGTTATACTTGGATCCTGATTTATCTTTAGTTAAATACCACTTAAATCCACATTAAGTCATTGTGTTCTAGTCAACAGATTTTAGAATGAGTCAGCTCTATGATCCCTACAAAGGGCTATTTACACTCTTAAAACAAACACAATTTTATATGACTGTTGGATAGACAGTTGTGTGAGGGAGTTTAATCAGGCATAACTCACCTAAGAGTCACCAAACAAGCTTGAACTAATGTTACCCAGTGTTTGGCAGAAAAATATTTACACCAGTTTTCCTAACCCAGTGTTCAGTCATATCTGGAAAATGAGCAAAAAAAAACTCCCATCTTAGGCAGGAGTAAGCAAGCAGTCAGTTTAAGCTTTGCTTACAAAAGTTAATTGGGATGGTGATGCAACATCAATCCCTTAAGGGAATAAAGTGAGGACTGTACCACTGACCTCATCAAGGCTGGGCAGGAAGTTTCCAAAATGTTGAAGTTTCTCAATATTGTGCACCAAGCAATACAGAAGACACATGAAGTGAGAGGTAAACATCAGCTGTATCACAATTTTTATCACAAAGTATTGACAAAGGCTTAGGGTCCTTGGTCTTTTGTTGCTCAGTTGAAGACAATGATGAACAACCACGAAAAAAGCGGCAGCTAAAAAGGCAGGTGTAGCACTACATGCTGAGTACCAAAATAAACATAGTCTTATTGTGAAATTTAAGGAGAAAAAAAAGAATCTAGCCACATTCAAATTCTCTGTAGGTCAAGGGACAGTCTACTTTTTGATTTTGTTTAAAATTACATTTTTCCAACAGACACTCAACTTCAATAAATGCTCCTTTTCATATGGAAAATAACTCAGCACTGACTCCCCTACGAAAATATTTTTCTCCTGGCACAACCAGGTTTCATGACTAACCTCAAATGGTCTGACTACTTTGAGAACAATCAGCCACTTTTATTGATTAAACAAACATGAAAAGACATTCATTCTCTTTAAAAAGCATTTTTCTACAGCTTTTGTAACACAGAAGACAAATAAAAAATAGGGTCATTTTTCACTAGTTCCTTTCATTAATTTTATTGAATGTAAATCTATTGAATCAATACAAATACGAAGTAACTTCATTCTATGAAGATCTAGACACCTTACAGTATAAAATTCCCTGAGACATAATGTGCAGCTTGAAGGATCACATAATTCTCTATTCTATTTACATTATTATCAAAAAGTAATGTTATTTCTTTTCCTTATAAAACCCAGAAGATAACAATCTTCCTTTCTCTCCCTTCACCTCAGTATTTTAAGGCATGGAATAAAACACTCTTTCAAAATGTATTCAAAAAGACTTGTCTACTTAAAATAGAAAATAACTTTGCTTAATTTTTACAGATGGATTGTATACATCATCTGCAATGTCCTGTGGAGTCTGGTATCTGATCTATGGTCCAATTTGCTCAGGTAAACTTTATCATTCAACTGGAGCTTGACAAAGTGAATTACAAAAGCCAGTCCCTAGCCTGTAACAGCAGACTATTAGCCAGAGCAGTGGTTGAGCCAAAAATCTGAGATTTATAGAGATGTTGTAATACTGACTTCATCAGCTGTAGGCCTGGGCTGAGTTTCCTTCCAAATGTGAGGGGAAAAATGTGCATCACTAATGTGAGAATGATGAAACTAGAAAAGGTTTCTCTTCTCCCAGTGCAAGTGCTCTGCAATAATTACTAAAAAACTACAGTTTTCACTATACAAGTCTTGAAAATTCTCAGTGTATAACTTACAAATACTGTGCAATTGTGATCACTTTATTCAAACATGATGCTTTAACTGTTACATAGCTCTTTTCTGAATTTTACAAAATTCTAGTTCCTCAAAGATTTCAACTGTTTTTCTTAGGGAGGTTAAGAAATATAATTAACGTTTGCAATCCCTGGAAATTTCCATTCCCCTGTAGCCTGATCTTCTGCTTTTGGCATTATTAATGATTACACAAAAGAACTGTGTACCCGGAAACTTTCAGAAAATGCTAAAAAATTGAGAAGGACTGAAAAAAACGCACTATTTTCAGCAGATTGATAAAAAGTAGTGCAATCTTAAATATTAGTTTGCCACTTTTGAGATTGGGCTCTTGTCTACATTTATATGAACTGTGATTAAAAAGTGAACAGAAAAAAGAAATTATAAATTCAAAGGGAGAGAGATGCTGTCATCCCAACACTTAGCTATTACTGTTAATGCTATACTTATATCAGATTTTTTAAAATATCAAAAACAATGTTATGGGAGTAGCAACCACTGGTAGAGAAACAGATGAGCGTACCATGAAGAACATGCTTTTACCTTAAGCAATCACTTTAGACTTGTTGAAGTGAAAGTGCAGCATTAGGGACCACTCCTACTACATCCCACATTGTGTAGACTGTCTTCTTTCCTCTCCCAGCAAATATTCTACAATAACTCTGACATTACCAACAGAAAGTTTCATGGAGTACTTTCAGCCATCCTTCCTTGCACAAAAGGAGAAGGGAATAAACACAGAAGCCTGCAAGATCTGATGTGGTAAACTTATGCAAATTATTAATGAACTTCATTATTATTATTATTAGTTCTTTTTCCAGTAATCCTTGGCTCCATGCTTACCTAATCATGGGAAACATCTAATTTAAAATAAATTACAGGAGGCTCATAAATCTTAAAAGCACTCACCCAACATCCCATACTGCTTAAGTCAAATCTAATCCTTTTCTAAGCTTAATATGACTCACAAATGCCAGTAAACTCACCTGTTCTTATACCAATCTCTTATTTGCAACTGATTTTCTTCTTTTCTCACATGTTTTGTGCCCATGATTTCATTCTCAATGAAATCTCTGAGGAACTCCATGAACACCTTAGTTGTTTGGGCAGGACCCTTGTGGGTTACCATTTTTTTCCTACCAAACTTTATAGTTGCAAAGGGCATGGAAGGCTGTTTCCCAACGATGTGTAATTGTAACTGAAGTTTCTTACCGGATTTCACCGAGATTACATGTAACCAAAAAGTAACCACAAACCAACTACTAAGATGACTCCAGCAAAATGTCAGTCTAAAAGTGAATAACTACTATAAATGTTCCCAACAGGCACTGAGAGAAGAAGTTCTATCTTAAGAACCTATTTATCCATTACAAATTTGAGCTAGAAAAAAAAAACCCTCAAAACCAAAGGAAAAAAAATTGTGAATTTGTCCTATTTGATATTCTTTCCTCACACAATCTGTATTTTACCAACAATCTAGATCTTATTCTCTACAGTAATTTTCTCTTTGAAAGGGAGAGATTTGGGAGTTTTGGAAGGGTTTTTGGTAATTACTATTTTACAAACAGCAAAGCAGCATTCTGAGTAGTCTGTCACCCAGCATTTTTAAAAATGCATGCCATAAACCTAAACAGTTGCTACACAACAGCACTGTCTATTGATACTAGAGAAATAAGTTAGCCTTTCTGTATTTATATTCAATATAGTAATAAAAACCCTGCCATTCTCAGCCTTTCCCTGCATTTTCTGTATGGCAATAAGTTTGCAGAGAAAAACATGGAGATTCCTGTAAACATTTTCTAATTCCTGAATAAAGGGAAGGTGGAAATGTACCGACTTTTTTTCCTACAGTCTCTCTTTTCCTGTACTTGAAGTTCTACTCTATTTTCATACAGGATAAATATGCCCATGGTTTCAGTAGGCAGTGGAAGAAATACTTTACATCATCTGAGCTGTTTGTCCACTCAGCTTCAGTCTCCTCCCATACACTTTTTCCTAAATGGAACAATTATTTGGTTCAAAGCATTATTAGCTGACTGCTGCAATTTTAAACATTGCTAAAAGGTGCTGCTGTATCATTACATTCTTACATTCAAAACTTGTGGGTCAGAATTGTCTGCAAATAGCTTTCACACACATAAAAATCAGTTAAAAACATTCACTTTTGTCTTAGGAGTACGGAAAGCCAGCACTGATCATATATCCCCTGCAAGCAGAGGAAAGTTTCACAGTCCAGGAAGTTGTCATAGCCAACAAAATTAGTTTCAGCTGTACAGCTGAAGAACTTGGCATCAGATATTTATGTTGAGCTGTGCAGAACCTTAAAAAGTTTCAGGTCTGTGGGACTTTTCTGAATTTAACTTCGCTCTTTAAAAATCATCTGGCACAACACTTTTCTGTCCTTTCATAATTTTCCCTTTAATAAAAATCTTCCTTTTGTAGGCTTTTCACAACTTGTTTTCCTGTACCTGTATATTTCTCTCACTGATGACAGGCATCTGTGTACTACCTTGGCTAATGATTTCTGTTAGACCCATTCTTCCCTATGTCTTGATGCTGACCCAGGCTGTCCAGGCAAGCCTTGCCAGCCAGGAACATCAGCTTTCAAACCAGGTGGCCAGATTTTGTACAATCTTGATTTGATTCCCAGCTGCTCTAACGGCCTCGCAGACCTTGCAGAAATGCTCATCCCAGAACGAGGTGACGTGGACTTCGTACTTCTTCCTCCAGGCAAAGTACCGCCTGTAGTTCCGTTTGTTTTTATCGAGGAATTTCAGATAGGTGGCCAGCAGCCGGGGGCTGGGGAAGTCGTCGACGTGGATGAAGGAGTCGGGGGGGATGAAGCGCTCGTAGTTGGCCCTGCGGGGTCCGAGGACAACGGGCACGGCGCTGGCGGAGAAGGCGTTTCTCCAGAGCTTCTCGGTGATGTAGTCGGTGTGCTGGGAGTTCTCGAAGGCCAGGTAGAACTTGTAGGCTGAGACGGTCTCCACCACGCCGCCCTCGGCCAGCGCCAGCCCCCGCGCCCCGTACACGTCGATGGGCAGGTGCTCCTTCAGCTGGCGGTAGTAGCGCACCCGGGCGTGCTCCTCGTTCCAGTTGCTGATTACCCAGGCCACCAGCCGTGTCTTGCGGGGCAGCACGAAGGGTCGGGGCGCCGGCGGGGCGTAGAGGTACCCGTATGGCACGAACACGTCGGAGTCGCGGCGGTAGGACATGGTCCAGTTGAAGAGCCCAGATAGCCCCCGCAGGCCAGGCGAGTGCGAGGGCGACTCGAAGTTCATCCAGACCCAGCGCTGGCGGGGGGGCCGCGGCGGGGACCCTCGGGGCAGCCCCCCGGGGCCGTGCCGCACCAGGTCGCGGTGGTGGAAGAGCACCGCCTGCGCCTCGGCGAACCGGCTGCGGTCGGCACTGAGCCGGCAGCCGCTGATGTTGTAGTGCCGCCGGCAGTCGGCCAAGCGCCGCGGGCGGCCGAAGGGTTCCCACCACAGCAGCACGGTCACCGCCTCGCCGCCCGCCCGCGCCGGCTCCCGCAGCGCGGCGAACAGGGCGAGCGCGGCGGCGGTGCCCAGCAGCCCGGCCGCCAGCGGCCAGCGCCGCCGCC